GGGCGAAATAGAGTCGTCGTCAAGATGCTTCTTTGGGGGGCCTCTTGGGGTCTGTTGAGAGGCCGTTCGGGGGCGCCTGGGAGACATGTTTGAAGCCTTCTGGGGCTTCTTTTGGGCCTCCTGGGAGTCTCCTGGGGCCTCTTGGCGACATCTTGGGGCCTCTTGGAGGCCTCTTGGGGCCTCTTTGGGACCTCCTGGGCGCCTTCTGGGACGGAGGGCTCCATTTTTGAGTTCTCGGTATCCCTCCTGAGTCCCTCTTGGGCCCGTCTTGGGGCCTCTTGGTCCGTCTTGGGCGGCACTTGGGCCGTCTTGAGGGCTCTCTTGGGTCGTTTCGGCGCCGTCTTGGGAGCTTCGTGGGCCGTCTTGGAGCGGTCTTGGGGGCCTCTTGGGCCGTCTTGGAGCGTCCGGAAGCCGAAAAAGCCAGAACACAAAAAACATCGAAAAAACCAATGAAATCAACGATTTTGGCCTCTTGGGGCTCTCTTCGGAGGCCTCTTGGAAGGCTCTTGGGGCGTCTTGGAGGCCTCTTGGGCTGTCTTGGGGGCCTTTTGGGCCGTCTTGGGGTCATCTTCGGCGTCTTCGAGCGCTCTTTGGGCGTCTCGGGGGCCTCTTGGGCAGTCTTGGGGGCCTCTTGGGGCACTCTGAGCGCGCTCTGGGGAGCCTGAGAGGCCGCACCCAGAAGGAAAACCATCTCTGAGTAGACTTGGTCGGGCGGCGGTCGGGCGGCGACCGGGCGTTGGTCGGGGTACTTTTCGCCGGGGGACCCCCAGGGGCCGCCCCGCGCGCGCGAACTAGAAATACTGTTAATACTGTTAACCAGTTACCGGAGATCTTAGCACGCCCTGGCCCGTTGGGCCGGCGAATTTCTAGTTCGCGCGCGCGGGGCGGCCCCTGGGGGTCCCCCGGCGAACAGTACCCCGACCAACGCCCGGTCGCCGCCCGACCAAGTCTACTCAGAGATGGTTTTCCTTCTGGGTGCGGCCTCTCAGGCTCCCCAGAGCGCGCTCAGAGTGCCCCAAGAGGCCCCCAAGACTGCCCAAGAGGCCCCCGAGACGCCCAAAGAGCGCTCGAAGACGCCGAAGATGACCCCAAGACGGCCCAAAAGGCCCCCAAGACAGCCCAAGAGGCCTCCAAGACGCCCCAAGAGCCTTCCAAGAGGCCTCCGAAGAGAGCCCCAAGAGGCCAAAATCGTTGATTTTCATTGTTTTTTCGATGTTTTTTGTGTTCTGGCTTTTTCGGCTTCCGGACGCTCCAAGACGGCCCAAGAGGCCCCCAAGACCGCTCCAAGACGGCCCACGAAGCTCCCAAGACGGCGCCGAAACGACCCAAGAGAGCCCTCAAGACGGCCCAAGTGCCGCCCAAGACGGACCAAGAGGCCCCAAGACGGGCCCAAGAGGGACTCAGGAGGGATACCGAGAACTCAAAAATGGAGCCCTCCGTCCCAGAAGGCGCCCAGGAGGTCCCAAAGAGGCCCCAAGAGGCCTCCAAGAGGCCCCAAGATGTCGCCAAGAGGCCCCAGGAGACTCCCAGGAGGCCCAAAAGAAGCCCCAGAAGGCTTCAAACATGTCTCCCAGGCGCCCCCGAACGGCCTCTCAACAGACCCCAAGAGGCCCCCCAAAGAAGCATCTTGACGACGACTCTATTTCGCCCCATCGAGAGACGACCCCCAGGGAACTGCTTCACCATCAAAACTCCCCACGCAACGCGTCCGAACGACACCCGCCCCCAAGAGCGCAACATGGGCAAAGAACACACAGACAAAAACCAGCGATGCCATATCACGGGCCGGCGGAATGAGCGAAGCGATTCATAATACTGCACCAACGGACCTGGAAATTTCACGGGCAGACGCGGCATAACTGGGTGCGGGCGGTGAACCGTCATCCAGGCTACCGCCGGGGACCTCGTAGAGCTGCGTACACACATATGACAGCGCTGTCAATGCGGACAGCGAGCTCCCTGGGATATCAGCTTGAGAACTCCGCGGAAAAGAAAAAAAACAAAAAAACAAAAAAATAAAAAAAAAACGTTGTTGGGGTCTCAACGGAACGTCAGCTCCACAAAAGTTTCTGTGCTACAAAGAACAGATAATTCCCAAGCGAACGCGACAGAAACTACTTCAGTTGCAGAGAAACTTCACCCCCGAAACGCACTGCGAAATCTCTGATAATTTCTATAAAACCTTAAATTTATTTTCTCGCTTTAAAAGCAAGATGATATGTTTGAGCTCGGTCTCTGGCAGTGAGTCGACAGAAATATTGCAGCTGCAACCCTGAGACTTTCACCAGCGAGCGCAGCGTGATCCAATGCTCCGTTAAACAAAATCTTGGATTGCCAAACGAATTCCCGAACCCCCCACAATCTTCCAAACACCGCAACATGAATGTTTCATGTCAACTTGGGGTCGGCGCCTTCAATGTTTTGATGGCAGCTGCGGACCTGAAACTTTCATGGGCAGACGCGGCATAACCGACTACAGGTGTGAAACATATTGGTTCTCAAAACAAAATGTGGCATCTCTTGCAATGTTCGCCCAGACGACCGAAAAAATCCAACATTGTCCGCCCTGGCCGGGTCCGTCAACTAGCTCCACCCTGCGCCCGAATTCCTCTAGATCATCGCACCGAAGAGCTAGCTAGCTCGACGAAGTGCCTACTACAGGTGGTCAAATACGCTTATCTCGTAACGAATTATGCAATCTCTCAGAATGTTCGCCCAACCGACCCAAAATTATCACTGGGTGCCGGCGATGAGCCTTCAACTGGCCACCGCCGGGGACCTCGCAGAGCTCCTTGCACACAGCAGTGCTGTCAATGCGGACAGTCAGCTCCCTGCAAGTGAATCGATAGGAGTATCGCGGTTACAGACCTAACACTTTCACCAGCAAGTGCAGCGCGATCCAACGCTCAGTAGAAACATCTTGGATCCCCAAGCGACCTGCCAAACCGCTCGCAATCACCCAAGGACCACAAAACATTATTTGGTACTTCAACTGGACGGCGGTTCCTAAAAGTCTTTTCGTAATGCTGCTACACCTACGACGGACCTGGAGAACTGGGTGCCGGCTGTAAACCGTCAGCCAGGTAACCGCCGGGGACCTCGTAGAGCTTCTAACACACACACACTTAACAGTGCTGTCAGTGCGGACAGTAACCTCCCTGGAATATCAGCTTCAAAACTCAAGACAACAAAAGTTTGAGGGTAGAACGGGAAGTCAGTAACACGAATAGTTTTGAATAGTACAGCAGCTAAGAGACCGAATGATTTCAGAGCGAACACACCAAGAACTACTCCAGCTGCAGAGCAACTGGATTCCCAACGCGAATCGCCAAACTTCAAATTATTTCTACAAAGCCTGTGATTTCTTGAGAAACTGCCACGTTTGAGGCCGGTCCCTGGGAGTGAATCGAACGAAACATTGCAGCTACAGCCATGAGGCTTGCAACAGCAAGCGCAGCGTGATCCAATGCTCAGCAAAATAACCTGGGATTTCAAAACGAATTCTCAAATCTTTCAAGATCTCTGAAACCCGCAAAATGAATTGTTCATGTTAACTTGAAGTCGGTTCCGCCATATGTATTATATATGTGTATATATATATGACTGCAGCTACAGACCTGAAACATTCACTGGCAAACGCAGCATAACCTACTACAGGTGCAAAAAAGACACTGGTTCTCAAAACGAACTGTCCAATCTCTCATCTCTCACAATATTTGTCCAACCGACCCAGAGTTCGCACATTATCCGCCGTGGACGGGTCCATCAACTAGCTCCACCCCGCGCCCGAATTCCTCTAGCTCATCGCGCCGAAGAGCTCTGCGAGGCATGTATCGCCAAACGCGGCATAACCTACTACACGTGAGAAGAATGCGTTTTCCCGAAAACGAACTATCAAATCGCTCACGGTATTCGCCCAACCGGCCTAAAGTTCGCACATTGTCCGCCCTGGCCAGGTCCGTCAACTAGCTCCACCCCGCGCTGGAATTCCTCCACACGAACATACGCCCACAGGTGTGTGTATATATACACACCTGTGAACGGCGCGCACTGTATGTATGTATGTACCTACACACGCGTGTATATATATATATATATGTGTGTGTAGATAGATTCCCCAAATACTGCTTGCAATCGCTTCGAAGGAACTTGGCCCGTTCGCGGCCCCGGCGGCCCCGTTCCCTGCCCGTGTCCGCACCGCCTCTTCCCAGCACGCGGCCCGTGAATGGTCTGGGCGGCCCCGTCCCCGTCCCGTCGCCGCCGCCCCGCGCCACTCCCCCTTGCATTGCATTGGAGTCGCACTGCGCTGCCATCGCATTGCGTTGCGCTGCAAACGCATTGCCTTTTGTACTGCAATCGCATTGCGTTGCATCGCTCTGCCTGCTTTCCGTGGTTCTGCATCGACTTGCCTTGCTGTGGATTGCCTTGCATCGCACTGCACTGCTTTGCGTTGGCGTGCGTTGCTTTGCATGCCGTTGCGTTGTGCTGCATTGTGTCTGTGTTGCGTTGCGTTGCATTGCATTGCTATGCAGTGCATTGCATTGATTTGCATTGTTTGGCATTGATTGGCTTTGCGCCGCATAGTGGCAATTACACCACCTAGATTGCACCGCCTAGATTGTAAGGCGTCACTGATTGGGGTCCACGCTGGCTAACAATGTTTTGTATATAGATGCAGTTTTACACGTATGTATATATAGAGGCCAAAGCTATCTGGTGCAGACAGCACAATCACAGCGAACACATCGAATTCGCGACTGGTGCGCACGTACGAGTAGGCGGCTCCATGAATGCTGGAAACCACTGAGGCCTCATATGTGGCGGCGGGTCATGCCTTGGCTCTGCCGGATTATGCCAGGGTTATGCTGGGCAAGGAACATCCCATTCCACTCTCGTTCCCCATTCCATCTCATTCCATCCGTCCAGTCTTCCTCCTACCATCGCGCCCTCTTTCCCTTACTCCCTCCTTGATCACATCCACCCACCGAAGCTCGCCAAGCCTTCTCGGGTGGTACCTGGGGCTTGCAGTCCAGGTCGTAAGTGCCGGCAGAGTTCACAGCGAGCACCTCTGGAAGACACGAATCTAGCTGCTTCGACGTGACAGAAAGAACAGACAATCTGCATCCACATAACCACTTCGAATCTCCGCGCGGACTCTTTGGATCTTACCATCGCCCGGGTGTCCATTCCCCGTGCATTGCTTGGTTTCGCGCGTGCTTTCTGCTGCCGGATGATCTAGGATGCTCCGCGCGATGGTTCTCGTCGAGCACACGTGATGCACACGTCCGAGAGATACCGAGTGGATCGGCGCTCCATCCCCCCCCCGGAGGAGGAGGAGAAGGAGGAGTAGGAGTAGGAGGGGAGGGGAGGAGGAGGAGGAGGAGGAGGAGGAGGAGGAGGAGGAGGAGGAGGAGGAGGAGGAGGAAGGAGGAGGAGGAGGAAGGAGGAGGAGGAGGAGGAGGAGGAGGGGAGGCGCAGGCGCGGGGGAGCCACAGCGCCGACCCGAGAACTCCGCGCGGAGCTCCGAGCACCGATGCTCACCATCGAACCCGGGCCACAAGAGCGTCCTCCTCCTCCCCTCCTCCTCTCCTCCTCCTCTCCTCCTCCTCCTCCTCCTCCCCCCCCCCCCCGCCAGCCAAACCGCCCCCAATCATAAGATCACCGAGGGTACCCTTCCGTTGCGTCACCGAGGGTACCCTCTTCCAGGAGGCACACAAACGTCCCGCGAACACGAAGAACACTGGGGTACCCTCTCCGAACGGACCTCGATCTTCTGCCTCGGTCTGACCGTATGCCGCTTTTCATTTCTTCGACGCAACTGGTAGAGGAAATAAACACGCAACAAACATGAACTTTTGGCGCTCCGCGCGGATTTCTTGGATCTCCGCTGGATTCCCCCCCAGCGGCGCCTCCGGCGCCGCCTATGGCGCGCTCCACGCGCCAAGGAGGGGGGTCCAGCGCAGATCCAAGAACTCCGTACGGAGCGCCAAACATTTAATCTCTGTTGCGTTTTCCTTCTTCGAAGGGAGCCCTCAAAAAGACAGTCGAAACTCACCGCCCCAGCAGGCCGTAATTAGACGTCGTTCATTTCTGATCATGCTCATGTCTAAGTGTGCTCGTTTCTGATTGTCCCTGGCCCCCGAGTGGCCAGGAAGAGGCCCAAGATAGAAAAATTAGAAACGGAAGGACCTTGGCCCCCAAAAATCAAAGAACTTCCGAAACTTAGACATCTTGGTGTCTGTTCCATGGGAGCCTGCGTGGCCCCCGGCGCTGTCCGATTTGGGCCTGATTTGGACTGGATTTGGAACAAAGTTGGACCAATTGTTGACCAGATTTGGAGTGGATTCGCGGCGAGTAGCAGAACAAGGAGGAGGAGGAGGAGGAGGAGGAGGAGGAGGAGGGGGAAGAGGAGGGGAGAGACGGAGCAGGAGGATCGGCCAAATGCGGTCCCTACGCGGTCCAAGTGCAGCAAAGGCTGACATCAGTGTCGCCGCCCAAGGCTCCCGTGAATAGACATCGAGAGAAGTGAACCACGTGCAGGCGCGTGGCGCGAGCCTCCCGCAGGCACGCGGGCGCGGTGGCCGCGGCGGCGTGGGCGGGTCTCGTCGGCCCGCGCGGCGCGGGGAGGCCGCTCCCCGGGGGGGCGCCAGCGGGGGAAACTGGACGGGGGCCGCCGCGGTCCCCGAGCAGGCGGCGACACGGGGGGAAGAACCCTCTGCAGAGAACAAGGCGGGGGAGAAAATCCAGGGAAAATTCCAGAACTAGAGCAAAGGGGCCCTCCGGGGAGAACAAGGGGGGAGAATTCCAGGGAGAATCCCAGAACTAAAGCTAGGGGGGGCCCTCTGGGGAGAACAAGGGGGGGAGAGTTCCAGGGAGGATTCCAGAACTGGAGCAAGAGAGAACGCCACAAGCAGAAATTTTGAAACGGACGGGGGAAACTGGACAGGGCCACTCGGCCCCCGAGCATGCGGCGCAACGCAGGGGAAGGGCCCTCTGGGGGGAACACGGGGGGGTAGAATTCCAGGGCGAACTCCACAACTGGAGCAGGAAAGCACGCCACAAACAGAACCTTTGAAACGGACAGGGGGGAACTGGACGGGGCCTCTCGGCCCCTGAGCAGGCGGCAACGGGGGGAGGGCCCTCTGGGGAGAACAAAGAGGTGAACTGCCAAGGAGCTGTCCAGCACTGGAGCAGAATAAGAAAAGAAAGCACGGCGCAAACGGAAACTTGTGGCGCTCCGCGCGGGTTTCTTGGAGGAGGAGGAGGAGGAGGAGGAGAACGAGGAGGAGGAGAACGAGGAGAACGAAACGAACGAACGACTCTGCAGAAGGGTGCCAGATGATCCTGCCGTAACGCGGGGAACTCCGAAGCCAAAATAATGCAAGCTCCGAACTGACTCGCTTCTAGAGGGCGCAGTGACTCAATATAGACTGGTCACGCGTGGCACTAGGTGCACTCTGCTCCCGCCCACCCTACCCCACCTCGGCTGGAGGGCCCCAAGCTTTAAAGGCAGGGCACGGCCGTGGGGACGTGGGACGAAAATCGGGACGAAACTTCGAGGCTCAAACAGAAAAAAAGCAGAGCAGGGAGGCCCAGCATTATCAGTCAGATCCTCGCCTCTCGAATTTTGGATAAAAGTCAACTACGACTCAGGCAGGCCCGAGCGGCCCCAAGGGGGCCGCCGAAACACACAAAGCTAAAAAGTTACGGCCCTGGGGGAAGGCCTTCGCGCTTTCTGAGACCTAGAAGACCCAAGACTCTGGTGAGAGGGATCGGCGGAGGGGGAGGAGGAGGAGTCTGAAGATCGGGAGAGGCGGCAGCGACGGCGAGATTATTCGGCCTAATCGAAGTCATCGGACCAGGTGTAGCCGAACTCACTGAAGGCGTGGCCGAGGTGAGAGGTCGAGTAGCTCTCTGGGAACGCGGAGATCTTGATCTCCCCTCCGTCGGAGCCACCCTCAGCGATGTAGTCAAGGTCAGGGAACGAGAAGAGGTGGCCCTCAACGGCGTGGTCAAAGTCGCCAACCGTCCAGTCGATAGCCTCTGTGATGCATGCCCCACTGCCACGTCGGACCCGCTAGGTCGGTACCCTCTGCTCTCTCGAGTCAGCTCGGAGAGTGAGCAGTGCGTGCCTGCGGGCCCTGTCTGCTCGGACCTGCGAGGTCGGTACCCTCTGCCTCCGAGCTGCGGCTCGGGAGGTGAGCAGTGCGTGCCTGCAGGCCCTTCTCCTCTCACTGCCTCCAGCAGCCTGGCCGCTACTGCGCGTCGAGGTGAATCTGCAACAGCCTGGCGTTGTGGGAGCGTGGAGGCGCCCCGTGTTTGTGAACCCCACCTAGCTGCGCCAGAGCGGCTACGACCGTGTCCTCTATGCCTGTCGCTTTGGCCTCGATCCAGATCTTGACTTTGTCCTGTGCGTGGGTCGTCTGCAGCCTGCAGTGCCGAACCTGGTCGGCCAGTTCGCCGTTGGAAATGGGTGCCGATTTCATGCGATCCTGGTACTCCTTGATCTGCCTCGCGTTGGCCTGGCCCACCTTGTCTCCCTGTCCCACGAGAGCGCCCGCCAGCGCGACCCACACGTGTGGATGAGGGATCCCCAACGCCTCGAGCTCGGGGACGGGGTCGCCGTTCTTGAGGGCGGCCTGGTTCGCCTCGCGAAGGCGCTTGGCCTCCTGCCCGTAGTACCTCGCCGTGAGCATCATCGACTGGGGCACGTCGTGGTTGGCAGGAAGCTGGACGTGACGGAAGATGGCCGACTCGAGGGCGTTGATCGCCTGTTCGTGCCTGAGGGACATGCGCATCAGGATGGGCATCATCTGCTGCACTTGCTCGATCGGGATGGGCGGAAGGTTCCTGACGTCGTCCTCTCTCAACCCGTAGTGGTTGTCGGTAGCGCCCCACACGTCGATCTGCTGCTGCAGGGGCTGACCTGCTCCTGGAGTCGCGGCCGCGGAGCCAGCTCCGCGCTGCTGCGGAGGGGCTCCCCGAGCGCCTCGACCTCGGCGGTCTCCACTCCGAGTCCGATCGCCTCGCCCACCTTCGAGATCGCGTCGCCTCTGTTCTGTCCCAGTGGCGAGAGCCCGCTCCGCCAGGCTCGGCATCCAGCACAAGATCGGGGGCGGGTGGCGCGTGGGCTTCCCGGATGTGTGTCTGAAGTGCCTGCAGGGTCTGAAACGGCTCTTGAGCCAGTGTGGCCTCGGCCATTCCCTCTCTGAAAGCCTCGTGAGCGGACTCTGGATCCACGCAGATCGGACAGTGGAGGTCGTCGGGCACAACCAGGGGGGGTGAATACGCACTGAAATCTGTGAGGCAGCGGCGACGGCGAAGTGACTGTACCACGTGCCTCTTGGCCAGCACCACCGACGAGAAGGTAGAGGAGCAGTAGCAGCACTGGTTTGTCACCACAAGCTGGTGCATCGGGACCCTGATCTTGTGCGACGGGTGGTGGCACTGATGTGCTCTCAAGGCCGCTCTGGAGTAGAAGACGTGCCCACAGGGGTCCCCGTTCTCGCCTGGGAGGTCACAGTAGTATTCTTGAGGAGGGGCTTCAGGGACTGGTGGAACCTCTGGTGGAACCCCGTGCTGAGGAGGAGGCCGAAGGGGTCCTTCATGTTCCTGTTCCCAATCGGCCTTCCGAAAACCCTTGAGACTCACGCTCTTGAAGTGGCACGCGACACGGTAGTTCGTGAAGATGTCCCGAATCGAATAGCCTCTCTCCAGGAACTGGTGCCCAGTGGGGATGACCGAGAGGAGCTTGATATCCTGCTGGAGCTGGAGGGCCCACGGGTTAGCGCCAGACCGAATCCAACCGTCGGGGGTGAACGTCGGAGACTCGCCCAGCGAAGAAACGTGCCCGAAGAGCGCCGCAACTACCTGAACCGAGTCTGCGGGGTTCACCGCAAGGCGCTGCCAGTAGCCGAGGCGCCTGATCAGGAGCTCAGTCCTCGAGTCAGCGATGCGCAACCACTTGTGCATGACTCTCGCCGAAGGTGTCCGAATCCTATCTCCCTCTGGCCCTACTCTCTTGGCAACGCCCCTCATCGCCACCTTCACGAATCCCAAGATCACC